AAGCCTGAGGGGATTTTGGCAGGAAGGGAGGGGTGGGATGTGTGTGAGCAGGAGAGGGCATAACCAAATGTGATTAAAGACTGCAGAGAAAAGTACAGTGGTAAGATGATCAGAGATCAGCTGGAGTGAAAACGAAAAAGAGGTAGGGAGAGAGAGGGGAAATTAAATGATGCGTCAATCTTCCTGTACATATATACATAAAATTTTAATGCTACTTAATGTTGACTGTCTTCTGTTGTCTTAAAAGTAATGTCAACATGAACCTTTTTTATTTAAATAACTTCTGGAAGCTACACTTGAACTCTGATCTAGGAGTCCAGAGGCTAGTGTTTTAGGCCCAATTCTTTGCTTTTTTTTTTTTTTTTTTTTTTGAGATGGAGCCTTTCTCTGTCACCCAGGCTGGAGTGCAGTGGCGCAATCTCCACTCACTCCAACCTCTGCCTCCTGGGTTCAAGCAATTCTCCTGCCTCAGCCTCCTGAGTAGCTGGGACTACAGGCGCATGCCAGCACGCCTGGCTAATTTTTCAGTAGAGATGGGGTTTCGCCATGTTGGCCAGGATGGTCTTGATTTCCTGACCTCATGACCCACCCACCTCAGCCTACCAAAGTGCTGGGATTACAGGCATGAGCCACCATTCCCTGCCAGGCCCAATTCCAATACTAATTTGCTTTTCTCTTAGACCATCTTCACTATATCCGCTTAAGTGGAAATTGTTGTAACTTTCTTAAAGGGCGGTTGTGAAGATTTACTTTATCTACCATAAAAATAATATAATTGTTTTTACAAACTGTTTGTGTAAACAGTGCAACTAACTGTAAATGTTATTTCAAACAACAAGGTTCAAACTGAGTAAAGTGGCTTACGCCTGTAATCCTAGCACTTTGGGAGGCTGAGGCAGGAGGATTGCTTGAACCCAGGAGATTGAGACCAGCCTGGGCAACATAATGAGACCCCACCTCTATTTAAAAAATAAATTTAAGAAAAACTTACAAAGTTCAAATAATAATCCTTGTGCTATCACCATGACTTTAGAGACTTTGCCCCAGCCGTTGTGTACTGTGTGCCTCAGTGTCTCATCTTTTTGTTTATTTTGTTTTGAGACGGAGTCTCTCTCTGTCACTCAGGTTGGAGTGCAGTGGTAGTATCTCAGCTTATTGCAGTCTCCGCCTCCTGGGTTCAAGTGATTCTCCTGCCTCATTCTCCCAAGTACCTGGAATTACAGGCACACACCACCATACCTGGCTAATTTTTGTATTTTTAGTAGAGACGGGGTTTCACCGTGTTGGCCAGGCTGGTCTCAAACTCCTGACCTCAACTGATCCACCCACCTCAGCCTCCCAAAGTACCGGGATTACAGGTGTGAGCCACTGCGCCCAGCCATCCCTATTGACAAAATTAGAAAACAGAATCTTAGACACCTCTGGCATGTGTTGCCTGAGGATTCAGTGCACGAAGAGAATAAAATTTGTTTAAATCCTTAGGGGAAAAAAAAGCATGCTATGTAAATCTAAGAGTAATGAACACTTTTCTTTTCCATTAAATTGTTTTTACTGTCCTTTGAGTTTTTTTCAGAACATAAGATTGTTATAAAATAATATTTGTTTATGTTTTGGTATGGCTATTTTATAATTTCTTTTTAGATTCAGAGATGTATACAGGGGAAGTTAAATCTACTAAAAAGATTAATGACTATCAGTAGTTTTTTTTCTTTTTCTTTTTTAACAGCTTCAGTTATAATGCTTCTCTTTTTTACTACTCTAACGACCACTTAGCTAAGGAATTAAGCTACCGGAAAACTGTTGGAAAATTATTTTGTCAATATATTTTATGTTATATGACCACGGGGGAAAGCTGAAAGCAAAAATCACTAAAAAAGAGTAGCGTGTTTACTAATAGCCGCTGCCAAACAGTTTCTCTGCAATATTTACAGATGCCATGGTGAGACCTTCAGCTGTAGCAATTAAATATTCCCGTCATTGACCTTCACTAAAACATTGTTTAAAAAAATTATTGTGACATAACTTCTGCTGATACCAACAATTCGTGTGACCTTGAGCACATCATTTCACCTCTCAGGACTTATGAATCCTCAACTGTTAAATAAAGGGGTCTTGGTGATTTTAAACTGGGGAGATACTGCCCTCCAGGGGCCTTTGCAAATGTGTAGAATGTTTAATGGTCAAGCCCCAGCAATGCTAACTGCCCTGAAGAAAGTATGAGACAGTCTTGCAAAATGAATTGTCCCAACCCAAATGCCATTAGCAACCTTGATTATTGCTAGTGTCCCTTCTGACAGTCAGTGATACCACAGTCTGACCATTCATTGATTTATTCAGCCACCAATTACCGAGGCCCCACCGTATCCTAAGCACCAAGCTTCTCTCTCTCAAATGCCGCAGAAACTCTGGCTCAATTGTATCCTTCTTTAAGAAAAATTAAAATTATATACTTCTTTCCCCTCTCTTCTTTCTAAAAGCTTGCACTTACCCACAGGACCACCTGATACTTACAGATAAGAATTTTCCAACTCAAACCATAAAGGGAATAGATCTCGGGACTCATCAAGTGCTTTGCGTTTCCTAATGACACTGAGAACCTAAAAGCTCACTTCAGCCCTCCTCAAAGACTGGATGTTGGCCTGGCTTGCCCTCAATAATTCAGGAATAGAGGCTTTCAGCTCCACTGACTGAGGGCTTCCAGTTAGATAATGAAACCCTAATTCTGGAGTGTGCAGCTAAATATTTCAACTTGATTCAATCATTTTTAATTTTTAACACAAAACACCAAATGTTTTATGCCCAGTGAATAGTTTTCAATGGCAAACAGAAATTTGCTAATATACTTCAATAACATCTGAGGTTAGCTATAATACCTACCTTAGGGCATATTACCACATCATTAACTTACATTGCTAATTAACTGGAGTGAGCAACTGTGTGCTATAGTACAATACTACCTGCCACCACCTCCTTCCTATAGTCCCTCCAAGAGTGCTGTGACCTTTGTGCTCAGCCCCCAGCCATCACAGTGCTACTTAGCATTCACATGGTTCTTCCTCACCTTATCGTCTCAGCAACCCCGGAGACAGCTTACTATTCTGAGTGCTTGTTTCATTTTGCAGAGGAGAAGACCAATGCACAGAGAAGCACGAGCATCTGTCCAGCTCACAAAAAGCTTTGGGGTTAGAGGGGATTCAGAATGCTATTTGCAGTGCTAAGAAGCCACTCTGATGTTTGGGGATGCTTTGCAAATACACAAACCTTTTCCAGCCTCCAATGAATCTTGGAGACTCCATTTTGATGTTTCTGGTCATTAAAAATCTTTGTATGTATTTGTTCAATAACTCTTATTGAACACTCCTCCTAAGCCCAGCAGTATTCTGATGCCAATAATCCTGTATTAATTAAGTACTATTACAATTGGAACTACAGAGGAGAAGTACAGGGTTCACCTAAAACATCAAACAGAACTTAAGCTAGCCGGGGGATCTAAGAGGCTTTCCTGAGGAGGCAATTTATAAGCGCAGGCCTGAAGGAAAAGGAGGAGGAAGTCCAAGCAGTGGAGCACTCCAGAAGGAGGGTTGTATGTAAGTGAAGGCCTGGGGCAGGGAAGAGAGGTTTGTTCCATGTAGTAGAGGATGTTAGCTCAGTCTAGGTGGCAGAAGAGAAGAGGGTGTCATGAGTAGATTTGAGAGATGTTTGGAAGATTAAATTGGCAGAATTTGGCAATCAATAGGATATAGACAATGAAAGTGGAGGGGTATTGAGGGTCTCTGCCCTATACTGGCATTTGGGTGGTAGGGGGCACTTGTGTAGAATTCTGGCAAGGAGATATACTGGGCAGTTGGGCAAATCACAAGTTCCTCATGTGGTACAAGGAACTCGAAGTTCTAGATGACATCACTTTGTCTAAGAGAGACTCTGTCTTGGATAGTGTATCCAGAGGTCTTACCACAGTGTGGTAGATTCTGAATTACTTCCATGGAGCCCAGAGCATGTGTTTGAAAGCAGGGTTATACACCAGCAATGAGGGCTTCGTAATTTATGAATTACGTTCGTGTGTAGTATTTCTGAGGTTCGTACTGATCTTTGGGGAAAGTTGTTATCTTCATTTTACTAACAGAAATTTGAAGCTCCTGAGTTTGTGATTTGCCCAAGGTCACACAGCTACAAATGAGGATCTGTACTTAAATTCAGGTCTTCTGGCTCCTAGCACAGGGGTCTTTTCATTTCATCACATTCTCTCTCTACATAATTGGGGCAAATTCTCTACCAACTCCTTGGACTTTTATGTCAGATGGAATCTATTGGTGCAAAATATGTAAAAATGAAATCAAACTTTTTTGCTATACTCTATTCTTAACTTTCTTTTTAAAAAATTGTTTCTAGTAGTTTTTTAAGTATTTTACTTTTGACACTCATGTTTGTATTTATATTTAGAGCAATTTTTTATTTTAAGAATGAAATGACAAGAACAGATCAGCTTTTACTGGTAGCAGAAAGACAGTTGTTCAGGAAATATTAAATTCAACCTTTGTCTAAATTCTAATAATTTATAAAACATTAAAAGACCAACTGCACCCTCACCTCCCATTCCCAGATCTACGCATAAAATAGGGTGACAATGTAAAAAGGCTGAGTGTACTCTCCCCAAACCACAGGTGTTCCCATGGAGCATGGCCTGGCTCTGAAGGAGGCAGGAGGCAAAGCTGCCCCAGCACCTGGAGGCAGGAGAGTCTTCGCCACCAGCCTGTGTCATCAATTTGCCTTCTCTTCCTTCCCTCAAAGTATGGGGGATGTTTACAATTAAGTAAATAAATAAAACTAATATCCATTTATTTCAGAGTCTGTTTTAACTACATCAAGTCAGGTTCTACACAAAATCTCAGGTTCAGGGGAAAGACAGAACCCTTTCTGCAGAGCTAAGTTAATTTCCCCTGTTACATGGAAATCTTCCTCCTGAACCTCCTCTTGTTGTTTACCTTCCTCCCTCCCAATAGCTCCTGGATTGTTTTGTGATCCCAGTAGTGATTTTGCTCTCCTGGTTCTTCCTGCTGATCCGGTACAAGGCTGTGCATTTCATCGGCATCGTCGTCTGCATCCTGGGAATGGGCTGCATGGTAGGAGCAGATGTGCTTGTGGGAAGGCATCAGGGAGCAGGTGAGTCTTCAGATCTTCACCAGGTTCCTTACCTTTGCAGGTGAGGCTAAGGTGAGAAGTGGAATGTGCATAGTTGGGTGAAAACAAGGACCTTAGGAACGTGGATTTCCCAGTAGTTGTGTCCTATTCATGTTTGTTCCCCACATCTATACAGGGCACATAGGAGGTGCTTAATGCATGTTTCTTGAGTGAATGAAGAATGCAAAATACAGCTTTCATACCCTCTCTGCATCCATTCAGAAACATGCAGACAGTGTTTAAAACTGAGAGTCATGACCTACCAAGATGTTTTGGAGGTCAATCCATTCCTGAACCAGCTGCCTGGCCCAAGCCCTGGTCCTTGTGGTCCTTGTTAGAGTTGGTGGTAATGAGTTCATTCACTCCTGAGCCACAGGGCCTTCCCCACATTTTCCCAACCTCAAACCTTTCTCTGTCAAGCCAGCGAAAGACTGAGCTTTCAAACTACTGGGTGAAGATTGGTTTATAGGCCTATGAGTGAATAAAGTTTGAGGACTTGATTAGGAGTGCTCCATAATTTAGGAGGGAGAGTTAAGTTCAGTCTCCTCATACACGGTTTATTTGTTTTGTGAGGAGGGGTTATTGGTTTCAATTAGAGTTTATAAACCCATAAGGTAAGCTGTATGATTCCCACTCATCAGAATGCTGTGAATCTGCTGAGGGAGCCCCAAGCCAGGGTGGTTTCCAGAGGACCCTTTTCAAAGCATCGCAGTTCTTTAAGATTTACTAAAATTTTTGCTACAGAAGGGTTTTTGGAACAGAAAAAAAAAATGTCCTTCTTTGTTAACATTGGAAATGGGATGGAAAGTACCCACTTTTCTGTAGTTCTTGGAATTGCCGTTTCTCTTAGGAAATTAGATGATAAAAGAGTCAAAAGTGGACCATTTCTCTTTATGAGACAAGGTCACATGAAGTCTCTGAAACGATGTTATGTATGTTGTACCATAGAACTTTATAACTGAAAAGGACCTTGTTCAGTTCCTTTATAATTGATATATGCAAACACCAAGATCCATGCAAACCAAGTGAGTTGCCCAAGGTCACAGAGCTGACAAAGCAGACACTGGAACACAAGCCTCTCAGCCTCCAGGGCAGGCCTCTTCTCTCTCTCCCATGTTGCTGGGAGCTGAAGATACAATACAGGGCAAAAGAGAGACAGCCTCAGCCTCATAGATCCATGCCACATACACAACACTATTGGTCCCCACTTCAATAGAAAGTCTGAAAATACATACCTTGATGTTTCCTGGATTCTCTTCTGTGAAACACTGGTTCCATGACATAGCAATAGATGTCATATGAAAGGGCCAATATTATGCTATAAACATGTAGTAATCTTGATATGAACAATCTTTGGAGCAATCAGATAATATTTTTGTCTGATACAATGTGGCCAGTTGTTCTAAAGTCATGATTTTTTTTTTTTTTTTTTTTTTTTTTTGAGACAGTCTGCTGCTCTGTCACCCAGGCTGGAGTACAGTGGCGCAATTTCAGCTCACTGCAACCTCCACCTCCAAGGTTCAAATGATTCTCCTGCCTCAGCCTCCGAAGTAGCTGGGATTACAGGTTCCCACCACCATGCCCAGCTAATTTTTGTATTTTTAGTAGAGATAGGGTTTCTCCACATTGGCCAGGCTGGTCTTGAATTCCTGACCTCAGGTGCTCCACTGGCCTCGGCCTCCCAAAGCGCTGAGATTACAGGCATACGCCACTGCAGCCAGCCTAAAGTCATAATTTAATTATATTTTCTCAGCTTTCCACACACTGTGTAAACACAGAGTAAGCAGAAGCCTGTACCCTCAGCTATGGAAACGCTACCTTCATGAACCCCAGCCGCTCATCTTAGCTGTCCTCTTGCATTTGATAGTCAACTATAAAGATGAACATTTAAGCCTAGAATGTTAAGCTAATTTGAATTGATTTCACTAAATTGTATTCATTAATCCTGTAAAAAATGTCATTTTGATTTGAAATGGAGTGTTAGAAAAGAAGCAAAACTACTTAAGAAAAAGAAAGTAGTCCATTTGAGAGTCTTTCCGAAGCGTCATTTTTAAAAAACAATGTAGATGTGGCTAAAACATACTGGAGTAGAATTTGGTTTGTTCATGTGAATGTGTTTAAGGCTCACGGTATCGTTGCTTTTGTGATATACAAAGCGCCAGTGTTAACAGAATTAAGCTTTATCATTGTGGAGCACCTTCTGTGCTGTTGAAATGGTGCCCATGTGCATAGAATAATGTTTTAAGACCAGCCCAGATATAGGATCCAAAGGCTCGTTTTATAAAATCACAATTGGACATGCTCTGCCTCTATAAAAATATTAAAGTAGGCAGCAATTTAAGCTATCCTAGAGAACATGTTGTTTTAAAAACAACCCACTGGTTTTGAGGTCAATAGAATCCTAAAATTGTTGTCTATCATTATCAAAAATATTCTTTTTTTTCTTCATCTCTATGGCAGAGTTGGTTCAATTGCATTAATCAGCCAGGGTCACAAAACTTTTTAAAAATACTGCAGGTACTCACCAGAACATAAATCAGGCATCCAAGTCCATATAAATTGTCATCACCAGGGCAGACACATTCAGAAATCCCAGTGACTCATGACGCCAAGGCAGGAGGGCCACTTGAGGCTGGGAGTTCAGCCTGGGCAACGTGGTGAGACCCCATCTCTATAGAAAAAATTAGCCAGCATGGTGGTATGCACCTACACTCCTAGCCACCTGGGAGGCTGAGGCAGGAGGATTGCTTGAGCCCGGGAGTTCAAGGCTATCGTGAGCTATGATTGCACCACTGCACTCTAGCCTGGGCAACTGAGCAAGACTCTATCTCAAAAAAAAAAAAAATCACAATAATAATAAAATTATCATCACTGTATCAACAATTTTGCACAGGAAAAGAGACTGTCTTACTTCATCCTTTTTATAATGTTTACTGTGTTTCACCTTTGTTTGGGATTTTGACAATTCTGTCTCCAAGCACATTGATGTTGGCTCTTTCAAAGTTTCTTTGACTTCATTATAATTAAAGCAATTGCTTTAATTCTACTTTGTCAGCATGTTTCTTTGTTATCTATCCAGGAATTCTTTGTTTTGATTTAAGTCTGGCTGAAGGAAACTTCTTAGATGGCATTAAGTACTTTATGTACAAAATGTGTCAGGGCACAGAATGATGTGCCAGGAATAGCACTTTTGATGAAACTTGACCAGCAAGTTTCCCACTCTAGACAGAGATGTGGAGAAACTATCCTAGTCCGCGGCCTGCAAGACTCTGCCTTAGAGACTATAGAGTGGTATACGTGGGAGGAAGGATGCAAACAGCCCTTACGTTCTCATTCTGTGTGTGTCATGTGTACAGCTGATCGCCCACTCTAGGACGTTTCCACACCTTTAAGCTCACTTGAAGGAAATGTCTTTTCCAAGTTTATTGTTAAAAATCAATGGGCTTAATATATATATTCTCTTTGCCACCTTGGTTCCATGTCAGCAGTATAGGCCTTCTCTGAAAGATCACCTCTGCATTTACTGATGTGCAGGATGATTGACATGCAATAGAAGCGGCTCCTGAGAATATTATAAATATTATAGATGCTGGCATATGTAAAAATGACTTAGTAAAGTTGAAAAGATTCAGCACCAAGACTTCTTTACTTGCCTGGAAAAACTTAATGGATATAAAAGGCAAGGTTAGAAGGTAATAAGATTAAGATAAAACCTAATTAAAATAATAAGATATTATTATAAAATATCTTCCTTGCCCTTCAAAATATCTGCTTTCTAGCACAATACATTTATTGCATCTTTCAGTCCATTTATCAAAGATGTTAGATGCCAACAATAATTTTTTATTACACATAATTTTATATTTATTTCAAGGAAAAGAAAATATTTTCAAGGAGCCAGGTAATCAAACACAATCAAGTAAAAATGACATTTTTTTACTGAGTGCCCACAGGTGCCAGGTACTTTTATTATATATTATTTCATTTATTCCTCCTAACTATATAAAGAATTTTTTGTCATTCTTGCAGCTGAAGAAATCAAGGCTCAAAGAAGATAAGCAACATGTTTAAGGGCAAACCATCACCAAATTATGTGGCCCAGATGTGAAATTTAGCCAGTATTCTTTCTGTTATACTACTTAGTCTTTATTTTTCCATAATTGTGACTTCTGTAACAAGTTTTATCGTACTAAATTAGTGTAAGTGACTGTCCTAGATTGCTCAAAATGGAGAAGCTCCCCAGATGTGGAACTTTTAATGCTAAAACTAAGAGAGTCCCAGGAAAACAAGACAGTTGGCCCCCCATTTGAGATGTAGATGTATGCAATGGGATGGATACATTTTCAGGAACTGCACTAATAGTCTTTCAACACTCTAGAATAGTATAACTCCATTTATTTCTTGTCCTAGTGGTAAATCATGATTTCAAATAACCTTCCTTTTTTCTCCCACCACCATGCATACACAAACATGCTTTCAAACATGACTTTTTTTAGTACTTAAAAAAATCTAATAAGGAAAGCTAGTTTTTGCAAAGCAATTATGACTAGGTTGATTAGAATCAAGGAGCAATCCAAAATAAGAACGCCCAATTCAACAAAACAGGGGGCTATTGAACGGAAATAATTTATTCACTTTTTTAAACTGCAATTTAGTGAACACTTACTAAGTGTCAGAGATAATGCTAAGCATTTTGCATGTCATATTTTACTTTATTCTCACAGTAACCTAATTTTAAGATAAGGAAACTGAAGTTCACAAAGACTCTGTAGTTTGTCCAGTGTTACACAGCTAGTAAGCGATTAGACAGCTAGTAAGTGATAGAGATGTGATCAGACCCAACTTTACCAATGAAAGCTGTTCTCAATGAAAACATTTACCATAGGATGTATTAAGACTTTTACTGTCAGCTCAATTCATTTAGCCTTTTATTGAGAATGTGTAATGCTCCAGGATCCCTGCTAGAGACCACATAGAATATACAGCTGAGTGAGCCACAGTCCCTGCCCGTCAACCATGATTTGTAAGAGAACAGCTGGCTGCAAGTTCACCAGTAACAGGCAAGGAGTGGGATATGGTGGGTGCCACAGACAGAAACCAACGCTGTGAAATTCAGAGGAGGGAGAGAACTATTGGGTTGGGTGGAAATTTCATAATTTTAAATGTGTCCATTTACCCAAAATTTACAAATCATTATTGCCTATTGTGGTTTTATACACACATCAGTGACATGTTCTGAACATAACCCTCCCCATGAACATTGTGCAGAAGCTGCTATCACCATGTCAGGTATCTACTGCATGAACAACGCATAAAATACATTAATATTTTAAATGTTGTTAATCCAATATGTTATAATTTCCAATTAACTAGATACAAATTTTAGACACAAAATATTAGTCTCAGAACTTATACTTTTTATTATATCAAATACTTCTTTATATAATGTAATTGGATAAAATTGTGTTCTGGTTAATTTCATTATGTTAAATTAGCTAAACTTTTATATATGTTATATGTACCTACTTTCAAATGACTTAACTGACAGATATAATTACCAGCAAAATTACAATAAATAATATTTAATCTTTTTGTTAGTGATAACTTAGAAAATACTTCTGAACTTGTAGTTACAAAAAATTGTGTTGTAATTATCAATAATTATTACTGAATTGGTGAAAACTCAAAGTAGTGATAAGTGGATTTCTTACAGTCAAAGGCCAGTTAACAGAAGGGGCCGTAACTGTGTGGAGTTTGAAAAATATTGGTAAGAATGTTGACTGAAACAGTGTGCCCTCTTTTTAGGACTTTCAAAAGGTAGATCGATGCTTCCCTAATTTCTATTAAAATATTTCATTATGATTTAGCTCTCTTCAATTCCTTCTATAAAATTAGTTTTATTAACCAAGAATTGTATTATGCAGCACTTCCACACTTCACCAATACAACAATAATTGATATTCATAATAATGACCCCATGTTATCACAAGATTCTAAAATGTCTTCTGAGTGAAAAGAGACTGGATCATGTTCATTATAATTTTACAATTTTACTTAGAGATATGTTCTATTTTATGGGTCATTCTTCAGATGAACTACTTAAAATTAAAAGTTTGTCATTATTTTGCAGTTGACACATAAAAAAGATTAATCAGGTTGCCAGAGATTTCACATTCTGTCACAGCAACCTTAATTTTCCTAAAAGATCTGTCCAGGGAACTCTCACCAAGCCTGATTTCTCATTAGGGCCTCATCAAGTTCTCAGCTCATCTCCTGAGCAGTGATGTCTAACTCCCCATGAATCCAAAGAGAGCTTCCAGCTCTCACAAAATCACATTCTCAGCTCCATTCCCTTGAGGATGACTCCAGCAGGATGCTACCTTCTGGCTCTCTTCCCCTCTCTCTTCAATCCTTGACAGGAAAGGAAGTTGCCTTAGAAAAATTGGCACCATTTAGAGATAGAATCTTCCTTGGTGACCACATGCCAAGGTCTTTCCTCAAGCTCTGCCCAGATTCTTTGGTGTGAAGCCACTACCTAGAGAATGCAGAGTGCTCCCCACTGAACAGTGAGAACCCAGGCTCATCAGGGAATCCAAGGCCAAGCTATCGTGAGTCCTTTTCTTAGAATCACGCTAGAGTGAGCACCCTTGCCATTCTGAACTTGTGCTACTCCAGAGCTACAGGTCAGCTGAGCTCCTGCACTGCTGACTTATGCAGGACCGAGCCAGAGACCACTTGGGTATAGAGCCCACCAGTGAGGCCATTCTAGCTGCCTATCTCTACTCTCCTCCTTTCCTGGCTCCATACATCCTAGAGTGGGAAGTTTGCCCAATTCTAGGAAATACCTGGGTAAAGCATTTATTTTGTTTTAAACCAATCAAAATTGAGTTTATTTTTATTTTTATTTATTTATTTTTTGAGACAGAATTTCGCTCTTTCACCCAGGCTGGAGTGAAGTGACACGATCTCAGCTCACCGCAAACCTCTACCTCCCAGGTTCTAAGGGATTCTCCTGCCTCAGTCTCCCAAGTAGCTGGGTTTACAGGCACCTGCCACCGTACTCAGCTAATTTTTGTTGTTTTATTAGAGACAAGATTTTGCCATGTTGGCCAGGTTGGTCTTGAACTTCTGACCTCGAGTGATCCACCCCCTTGGCCTCCCAAAGTACTAGGATTACAGGCATGTGCCACTAAACCCAGTCCAAAATTGAGTTTAAAACAAAAAGAATTTTTAATGAAAAAAATATTAATGTGATAGTGAATTACATATATTTACACTCTTAAGTTACTTACTTCAGGGGAGTTGAAAATTTCAACCCATTAATCCTTTCACTCTCATTTACTAATAATTACACATTTTGCCCATGGTCAAAATGGAGTCTTGATGGCTTCTGTTGTAGCTTCCTTCCCTGAATAGCAGAAGGTGGAAATTTATGCTGCTTCTGTTTGTTCTACACCATGTTCACTAAACTGATGGAAAATGCCCAGAAACAAATGTAGCTTGTACATCTATTACCATATATATATAGACACATACCTGGACAAAAGATAGTGGGCTTTGTGAAGAGGATGTGATCTGGAAGAGACTCATCTCTTTCTTAGTCAGAGAAGACTTCTAATTGTGTCAACATATGCAGCCTTTTTATATCAGAACATGTCTAGAGCACAGATAAACAAACTTTAGTAAATTTAAGTTGGAAATTGTAGAACTTCTTTTTTTATTGCATTTTAGGTTTTGGGGTACATGTAAAGAACATGCAAGATTGTTTCATAGGTACACACATGACAGTGTGATTTGCTGCCTTCCTCCCCTTCACCTATATCTGGCATTTCTCCCCATGCTATCTCTCCCCACCTCTCCACCGCCCCCGTCCCTCCCCCATTTCCCCCCAACAGACCCCAGTGTGTAGTGCTCCCCTCCCTGTGTCCATGTGTTCTCATTGTTCAACACCCGCCTATGAGTGAGAACATGCGGTATTTGATTTTCGGAAATTGCAGAACTTCTATAAAAATGTCAACATAGAATAGACAAGGGAAGCCCAATTTGCTGATACTAGATTCTTGGGTTTTTTTGGCTTTTGTTTGTTTTCTCAATTTTTTTATTGCATTTTAGGTTTTGGGGTACATGTGAAGAACATGCAAGATTGTTGCATAGGTACACACATGGCAGTGTGATTTGCTGTCTTTCTCCCCATCACCTATTTGACTCTTGTTAAGAAAGTTTTAATGATGCTCCCTCTGTTTATTTGGTTGGTTCCTAGGGGAAAATAAGCTGGTAGGGGACCTTCTGGTCTTAGGAGGAGCCACACTCTATGGTATCTCTAACGTCTGGGAAGAATACATCATCCGAACCCTGAGCCGAGTGGAATTCCTGGGAATGATTGGTCTCTTTGGAGCATTTTTCAGTGGAATTCAATTGTGAGTAAAAATAACAAGAAATTTAGATAATAGAGAGACTGACAAGACTGATTCTTACAATTTTTGTTCTCGGGATGTAAAAATCAAGGCTGGAATCCAGACACCAGCTTCCTGTACAAAGGATTCATGAAATCTGCCAACTCAACATCTTTATTAGTAAATATCCTCCAAATTAAACAAGTTTAGTATAAACTTTTATAAAACACTTAATGTTTTATAAAACATTGAAAATAATTTGCAAGAAAGCATTAGAAGCATTAAGGCTGATTCTCCCAAACCAATGAGTGGGGTTTACTTAGAGAAGTAGAAAAACTAAGCATAAATGCCCCAATTCAATGAATTTCCCAAAAGGAATATTCTCTATACTCGTGACAACCACCAATAGAAAACTTATAGTTTAAAATTACACTTTTATAAATGTGTGATTTTACTGCCCATGGATTTGCAAGAGTGAACTATATTCCAAATTTATCTCTTAGAATAAAGGTGAAGATACAATACAGACATTCACTAAGCATCACAAAGTCGAAAGCACCGGTTTTGTAACAGTTCTACAGCTGGAACATATAAATCATCAATGACTTGTCTCAGAATTTGTTATGAAAATAAGTTTCAATCAAAGCGTAATTTCCATCTGTAAGGACCAATATTTTAGCTTCACGTGAGACATAAAGAATGATAGTATAACCTCCAGTCAAATTTTACCAAATCCCTTTCTACAAACAGGTAATTCTGATTTCACCAATCTCTTTCTACAAAGCAAGCACTTTGTAACTGCACTGGTGCGGTGTCTGAAGTTATTTATGGAAGATGTTTTGGCATCACCTTAAACAGGTTTTACAAATAGCCTGTTTTCAACAATCCTCCAAATTTTGGTGTCTTGAGTTATTGGTTGGAAAACGTCACAGCAAACAAGGCACAGTCTGAGCAGGATTTATTTGGAGTTCATTTTGAAAGTGATGGCATTTTAAATCTCCTAAATTTGGTACTTCAGCTTTGTGAGAGGAAAAGAAATTACCATTCATAGCCAACGTTTTGTAGATAGATGGCTTCTTTTATGGGTTATTATTCTTGAGTCCAAAAAATATGTTCAGAGACCTAGTGCTGATTTGCTTCAGTTATAGTCTATTAGAGTTGAGTGTTCCCTTTGGGGGCCACTGCTGCCAAAATAATGGGAGTATCATTAGGGTGTGCTTGGCAAGTGGGATATATTGAGGGCTCACTGGAATCAAAATAATGCTGGTGGAGCAGTGCCAGTGTCACTTCCCCATTCTCTTCTAGATCAGTGGTTCTCAAAATACGATCCTCCGACCAGCAGCACTGACATCACTTGAGCACTTGCCAGAAATGCACATCCATGGATCTCACCGGATCTCTGAATCTGAATCTCTAGAGATGGGACCAGGAAACAGTGTATTTTAATGCATTCTCCAGATGGCTGTCATGTACATTTAACTTTGAGAACCATTGCCCTAGAAAACACTCAATCAGAAAATTGATTAAACCTGCAAGCACAGACATTTTCTGAAGTTCATCGTTTGCTTTTCAGAAAGCATCTGTCAAGCCGAAACAAAGGCTGCAGGCCGACTGTTTGGGTGAGAAGGGCAGGAAGGGTTGAGCTCCCCAAGGCCCCCTGGCACACCTGCACACTGACCAGGTTCTTCAGGGATAAACCACAGGCTACCTAATTAGACCTGCTTCTGCGTGACCCAAAATTCTTCCTGAAATTCATCTGGTTGCTTCATTATTTGTATAAATCTGATAAGTGAAAAAAAAAAAAAAAAGAATGTAGAATGCCGTCTAATCTTGCTCATCAGATTTGTTTTCTTTGAATTTTCAGAGCTATAATGGAGCACAAGGAGCTATTAAAGGTGCCCTGGGATTGGCAAATAGGTAAGGAGTCAGCTCACCTAAGATGTTCTTTTTATAACCTGAGAAATGTGTTTGAAGAATGATGTGGGTCAGTGTGGAGCACCAACAAGGAAGGGATTTAGAATGGTAAGGGACAAGGGAAAATGAAATCCTTTTGTCATTTCAGGAAATCCTGCACATTCTGAGAGACTAAATTGTATGATTCATAGTGTTTCCTAATTGAGCTTCTGCCCATTACCATTGCCAAGATGCCATTAGGGGAGACACAGAAGTGTGTTAGTAGGTTAAAGACCAACAGAAAGAAAAGCCGGCCTGAGGCAGTGGTAGCACATAAATGACAGCAATTTGCCTTAGCCAAGAAACACTAAACTGATGTGACCATTAAAAAGTGCTACTTGGGTGAAGGGAAAAAAAACGAACTTAACAAAAAACCATGAAAGGAAACAATGTAATGGGCGATCTGGGCCCATAAATACCTTTCAGAAGGGAGCAGTTTGCACATAAGAAATGGTTAATTGATCTCCAAATGGACTTAGAAAATACCAGAAACACTTTGAGCTAGTTAATAGTCATCCAGGACTTCTCAGGTTCCACCTGTTTCTGGAATCACTTTCCTCGAAGAAATTTAGGACAAGGATTTAAGATCCTAGGAGATGCTGTAATGATCAATCTTGGCAAGCCCTAAAAGGGACTGACATTTAATAACCTCAGAAGGTGTCTCCACAGTGAGCAGAGAACCTGGTTTATGGGATTGCAGGGAAAATGTGTGCAGAGTGAATGCAAGCGTCAGGGACTGGGCTACAGACTGTTCCCCACACTGAATCTGGTTGCTTGAGCCATCTCCAGCTTATATGAGCTTTAATACAACTTCAGCCAAATTCTGTGTCCATAAGGAAAGACAATAAAAACATAAACTCCCACGAGTCACTTTACCTACCTATCCCCATCCCCTAAGCACGTGAGGCTTACTGCAGACATCATTCCCTCTGAAGGCACACTGAGCCACAGAACTGTGCCTGACTCTCCCTAGGGGGTCTGTCTAGTGACTTCAAGGGCTGACCAGCCCTGTGTCTCACAGCCCTGCCATTTAATTTCTCTCTAGTTTTGATACAGAATGATATAATTAAATGAAAATCAACAGGGCAAGTGGGGAGAGAAGAAGAGGGCAACAGGGAAAGGAAACCAGTTGGAGGTCACAGAAAACATTTGTCTTTGTGACCCTCAACACCAGAAAACAAAATGTTACCTGTGCTTGGTAGCACTTCACATGCAGTGGTCCTTGAGCATAAATTAACTTGATATTGATGGTAATGGTAATGATCAAAAAGACTTTGTCCTCAAACTATGTGGATGCCATGTGCATATCTCCTGAGGTTCTGTTATAATTCAGTGTTAAATGAGTCATCAAAAGATAGTTTTATTCTGAACTCTCATATTGCTATTAAAACGTCAGTCCCCTGTAGTTGAAGATGATGAAGGACAGTGCACAAGGAACACATTACGAAGCCATCCATTTAATATCTGATTGGAAATGAGGCCACAATGGCCTCCATAGCACTGTAGGGTGAATATAGTTAACAATAATTCATTGTGTATTTCAAAATAGCTGAAGAGATTTGGAATGTTCCCAACACACACACAAAGATGATTCAGTGGTTGAGGTGATGGATATCCCAGTTGCCCTGACTTGATCATTACACATTGCATGCATATATCAAAATATCACATGTAACTCATAAATATGTACAATTATTATGTATCAATACAAAATGGCCTCAAAGGAAAATCAAATACTCATCTTCCTCTTTCTGAAGCATTTTTAGGGTTGTGTTTGGGACGTGTTTACACTGGGGCCTCCTTGGTCCTCATTATCTGGCCCTGACCTTCTGCAAGTTTCTGTTGTTAGCTTAGTACTAGACACATGGCATGAAGGGAATAAATGTTTACTAAATGAGCAAATGAATGATTGGCAATCAACAAAGATGATCCTATTCTTCCCTTTCTCATCTTACAAAATACAGACAAAAGGGAAACAGTGGAGACAATGGCAAGAGACTTTAAGCTTGACACTGCACTTTCTATGGAACTGGAAGATGGCATAGCAGCCGCTGCAATTCATGGGCCAGAGAGGCAGGGAGATATCAGGGGAAGGTCAGCACCTTCTCAAACCCACCCCAAACTCCTTGAGAAGTCACCTGAGAGGCCAAGCTCTGATGACTATGTCCTGAAGGAAAGCTCACATTCTTCTGTTTAGGAGACCAAAATCCAAGAGGTCTTCATTTCTCAGCATCTGTCAATGAATTTCTCTGTCTTCCCCCTCTCCACATCAGTAATCTAACCTCATACAATCTCTTAGACAACTCATGTGGTTGCCATTTTATCAAAGTGGAAAGATTGTTTTTTTCTTTTGGGATAATAAATATGTTTTCTATTTTCTTAACTTGAAGTCACTTTTAAAAACATTTTTTTATTTTCCTACAATGCTGGTCAATTGCAAAATACAGAACAATTAAAAGCAAGCAATAATAGTTATTGTTGTTTATTTGTATTCCATTGTTTTACTCTGCTGAACAGAAAGACTGGTTGTGATTATCTAATGAGTAAACTCGAGTGAAATGTGTGACCTAATACAGCTAAAATACCCTCTTGGGGAGCAGGAATGTTAGCGTCACATTCATAAGCCTAATAAACAACTTAAACATTCCCTCTATCCCATGGGTCATACTGTGCTAAAGGATGTGTGAAGAAATGTAATCGATGTGAAAGTCAAATGTCAGAGAAAAGAAAAATTGTGCTGCAGGTCAGTGAGCACAGGCTTGCGGTATGCAGGGGGCTTCTTCGCTTTTGGTTATGGTCGATGCTTGTCTTGGTTTTGGTTTTAGTTTTTTTCCTGGAGGCCAAAACAAGAGATTTGGCCTCTCCCCAAATATGAAATAATGGGACCACAGAGCAGGAAAAGACCTAAAGATAATTGAGAATACATCTTTCATGGCCAGGCGCAATGGCTCACACCCATAATTTCAGTACTTTGGGAGGCTGAGGCAGGCAGATCACTTGAAGCCAGGGGTTCAAGACCAGCCTGGCCAACATGGTGAAAACCTGTCTCTACTAAAAATACAAAAATTAGCTGGGTGTGGTGGCACATGCCTGTAGTTCCTGCCACTCAGGAGGCTGAGGATAGCTTGAACCCAGGAGGCGGAGGTTGCAGTGAGCCGGGATTGTACAACTGCACTCCAGCCTGGACAACAGAGCAAGACTCTGTCTCAAAAAAAAAAAAGTACACCTTTCTTTTTACCCATGTTCACCCTGAGGCCTGGGGAGTTGAGATGACTTGACAAGCATCACATATCTAAGCAAAGCCAGCCCGGCGCCCTTTATACACTTTAATGTGTATGTTCTGAGAAGTCATCTAACCTAGCCATTGTTTTTCAGAATTACAAATGATATTTTAGAACTCTGGTATATTCAAAAGAAAGAGAAAGAACACCAGTGGAATCCTGAAGAAAGAGATGAGATCAAATATATGTAGCCTATACAGACACATCATATATATACATATATGTATAACATATTAAATGAGGTATTGATTAGAGTCCAATAGGATATTCCTTCAAAGCCTTATTTTTCTTTGTAATAATTAAACAAAATAGGTGTATGTTATGTACTAATTTAAAGTCAGGCTCCCTATGTGACCTAAGGGCAAATTACTCAACCTTCGTATGCTGCTCTTTTGCCTGTTTACTCACAGATCCTCTTTTACACTTTCCTCTGTTCTGCTTATGCAGACCCACATCCCAGCCTCCCTTATCTACTGGATTCCAGTCAGTTTTGGCCAACTGGAGTCAGTAGAGGGAGATTGGAGGTGGGAGAAAGAAAGGAACCAGTGTTTCTCCCTGTGTCGCTCTGTTTGGGGTCAGATCTCCTCTAGATGCGGCTGAGTCTCCTCTGTGATTCTACCTCTGCTGGGCTTTCCTAACTTCTTACCTTGGGCAACATGACCTCCCTCTTGTATTTCCCTAGCTCTTGCATTGTTAGTAACTCCCTGCTATTGCTAATCTTCAGGTTGCCTGACCATCCCTTTTTCCCCATCAGCCATATGAACACCTTTGTAACTTGTACTCCATTTAACATAGCCTTAACCCAGTATGGACTGTGTTTCTTGATTGATACACTCTATAAGCCTATTTCCTAACCTGTATAAAGAGGATAGCAATAGTTATCAGCATTATACTGTTGTGGAGATTAATTACTGTACATAAGTATGTGACACATAGTAAGTGCTCAGTCCATGTTAGCTGATAGTAGTATTTCCTGTCTCTGTAGCTTAAATCACTTTAGTGCCTAAGGACAAGAGTCACCAAATTCTATCCTTAGTGAGAGAGAAAACATTCCAAGAGGAAATGTTTATTTATACACACACTCTGTTTATAAGTGTGGTTACTGCAGCCATTTTGTAGTTGTCAGTCAAAAAGTAATTCAGTTCATTTGTATGATCATGCTAATCAACTGAAAACCCCTACCTGGACAACAAGTTGGACTTTCAGAGACATTGTTAATATCTATTAACTATCTAATGTCCATCTGAGAACAGCCAAGAAAGGGCAACGATACTGCATTCCAACTCTCAATTTAATCATGTGTTGGCTGACTGTGCTTTGCTTAGGAAATACACAAAAACATTGGTTGACCTAGTTGTCAATTGTGATAGTGCATATATTCCACTCCTGTCCCCCTACCTCTAATTTCTGCAGCAGTTAAAAATAGGTTGAGAATATATTAGCTGGAAGCATCCTAAGGTAGCCTGGTTAGCACAGTGCCATCTATTTCTTTTCCTACTCTCCTTTGCTCACCAACTGGGCTTGTAAAATCTCCCCTCTTCTGAGTCCTCCATTTATATATCCAACTCCCTACTGAACACATCATTCAAAATGGAGCATTTTATTTCTCCCCAAAACCTGGTCCTCTTTTAGTTCCCTCCATCTCAGTATATGGCATCACAGTTCACCCAGTTTCTAAATTAGCCAGAACGCATGGGCATCCTCCATGCCCTCCTTTTCCTCACCACCTATATCAGTCCATCACCAGGGCTTGTTGAGTCTTCACAGACCCAGCTACTTCCCTTCTCCACTGCAAAACCAAGCAAGCTACCAGCCTCTCTCGCCGGAACTGTAACACCGCCATCGTGCTAACTGGTCTCTGTAACTGGTCCCGTGCTTTTCTCCTTCTAATCCCTTCTCCACAAAGTAGCCAAAATCATCTTTTGAAAGTGTAGATCAGATTCTTCTAGTCACCTGCCACAAAATTCTCAATGGCTTCTTTGTACAACTAGAATAAGATTTACATTTCTTCTTTCCAAGACCTGCAAGGCCCTGCATAATCCATTCTCTTCCCAATTTTTCGGCTTCCCCTGCCCATTCTCTTCATTCCGCTCAGCCATTCTGGCCTTGGTCAGCATCTGCAACACTTGAGGCCCTGTCCCTTTCAGGAAGTTTTCATGTGCAGGTTTCTTTGGCTTCTCTCATGGCAATCTCCTTTTGGTCCTTCAGCACTGGAGGTAAATGCCACCTCCACAAAGTAGCCCTACCTCACCACCCTGTCTAAAATTTAGCAAGCTCCTGCCCTTCTCTTTAAGAAACCCTTGTCTTTCTGCATGACATCAATAGCGACTCTAAGCTGCTAGTCTGTCCTGTTCTTCATTGTTCCTAACCCATAGCAGAGTGCCCAGGGCATAGTAAGTACTCAGAGAATAATGGTTGAATAAATGAGTGAATATAAAACATCAGAGCCCACAAGTCAAAGTCCATGCAAAATGATGGAAGGGTATTATTCTGGAACTTTCTAACCCAGTCATGGTATTTAAATCAGTGACACCTTCAAAAAACAAAACAAAGACAGAAGCAAGGCTCTGGTGCCTAGACTGTGTTCTGATTAAGGTTTGTTATTTTTAGTAGATTAATTTAAGGATGGTCTTGTCTCTCATCTGTTAATCACAGATTTCTCTAAGGAGTACCAAATTAATTTTTATGTCTTTTCATGTATTAGTCCTAAGTTATGTAATATTTATTACTGAATTTTTAGTAGCTTGGTTGAAAGGAAAATGAACTACAAGTAGCATGAAACCCACATACAGGAAAACAGTCTGTTTTTAGGGAATTCAAACTTCTGATGGAGAATTAAAAACCAAACTATTATTACTGTGATAGAATCTACACATAGGACTTTTATCTTTCCCAAATAGGAAAGTGGTTGTTCCCCCCTCCTCTGAGGGCTCTTCCACCACGCTAGAGGGGGCTGTTGTACTGAGTTTACTTACTTATGTTCAGAATAATTTTTTCATAGATCCGATGCGGCTTTTCATATGGAGTGATGATTTGTGACCTTAAGCACTTTTCATGTGAGCAAACCCAATATATCTTTGCATTAATCACTGGTCTTCATAATCAGAAAGACCAGATATTCAGTACCTACCAAACTCCCCTAAATCCATAAAATTCAGAGGAAGCAAATCTGCCTATACCCTACGCCAGACACATTTAATCAAGGATTCCTTTGGAAAGGTTATTTTTATTATATTGTAATGCCCAGGCAGCCACTGAATTGTCACATTTACGCGTATCCTGTGCCTTATTCTTTCAAGGTGGAGAAATGAACATTATTTTTTTTTACATTTGCATTGTATCAACATTTGGGGAAAAACAAACCACAGTATAGATTTAGCTGTAAACTCTTGCTTGAGACCCTGCAAAATAAGGTACCCATGTCTAGGCTTAATTACAGAGAGAGAAAGAGAGACAGAGAGAGAGAGAAAGAGAAATTTTGAGGATGAGAGATTGGCTACCTAGTATTTTAAGGGTATGAAAGCCCACATGTGAGAGCACACAATAGGCCAGGATATGTGATAGAAGGGCAACGCTCTGTGTGTTGTGGATAGGGCAGAACAGATTCACAAACCTGGAAGAGACCGACAGATTATCCTGTGTTCCCAGCAATGAATTCATCCACCCAAGGTCACACAGTCAGCATTCCAGTTCAGTATTCTAAGTTCAGGTCTCTCTGACATGCAAGCTCTTCAACTTTAAAGACTATGTAGTTATTCATTATTGTGGGCAATGCATGATACCAAGCAGTTTTGTTCCTACTACTCAAATTAAAAGTTAAGAAGTTAAAAAAAAGTTTAAAAATAGATGAGTGGCAAAAGCTAATTACAGCACAATTGGGAGTAAAATTCAAAAACCTTGATTCTGTGTTCTGACTATAGCCACTAAGAGGCACTCCTTCCCAGAAGAAGCAAAATGTCAGCTATTCAGTAAGAAGCAGAAAGTTCATTTTTCACTCTTAAACTTTTATTTTTTATTTTACCTTGTTTTATTTTTGACATGTGTTATCCAATAATAAACATCAGTTAATAGGGGGAAAGAGAAACTGCCTTGTGTGAGTGACGGGTGATGTGCCCTACTCCCCTTCTTGCCCTGCTGTGGATGTGGAAGACGCCCTGGAGAAGGCCCTAACGCTGCCCTACCTCCTCTTCCCCCAGGACTGCTCTACGTTGGCTTTAGTGCCTGCATGTTTGGTCTCTACAGCTTTATGCCAGTCGTCATAAAGAAAACCAGCGCCACTTCAGTCAACCTTTCTCTGCTCACAGCAGACTTATACAGCCTGTTCTGTGGATTGTTTCTCTTCCATTACAAGGTAAGTTGAGTGAGTGCTCCTTTGTGAAGATGATACTTTGTAGGAAACAACACATATGGGTAGGAATGCCTGGATGTTAAATGCCCTGATTTTGTGTAGGGAGTAGGAATGCAACTGGGAATGCTAACCTCCATGATTTGGGTATTCACATTTCAACTATAAGACAGAGACATTTTGTCCTATGACACCAGTAACTATGTGCAATTGATAGTAAGGGATAAGAAACAGCCATAAAGGAAAGAGCTTTTGAATACTGGGGAAAGTTTTCCTGACAGCATGCAGCCCGAAGCTACTCTTTTTCCAATATAAACCTAAGAAGAGTTGTGCAATTCCCAGACTGTAGCTGCAAAATGGATTCTGCCAAAGGCCTTGGCAGAGTATGTTCTCTTTGGAAAAAAGACACAATTCCTGCAGTTTCTGCTTTGCAGATATTTTTATAGCAAAGATGAATGGAAAATGCTAATGCACTAGAAATAGTTTTTTTACTAAAAGATTGGGGTTTGAGTAAAGGAATGCAAAGAGATAATGTGAAGCACCTGCAGTGAATGTATCAGCCCTAAAGAAAAGAAGAAACTGTCCAGTCTAAAGATGTCAGTCTCTCAGAAGGCAAAAATCTACCCACGTCTGCACCCTAGGGAGACATGACTAATTGATGATGGCACACTGAGGTCAGATCCTACTCTTTTTAACACCACACTCACTGCTGTCCATCACAATTCATTAGAATTTCCATGTGAGAAGATACCTCTTGCCATTCCTTAACTAGTCCTATACGGTAAGAGTCAAGAGGGACTATGACCCAGTTTGAAACAGGCCAAATATGGAATGTCCAAGCAGATAAGACCAACTTGGACAGCTGAAAGAAGAAAAGGCAGAAGAAAAGAGACACTACTCTGGCCACTTCTAGCCAAGTGCTTCACCGGTGCTCTTACAGCCACCATCCACAGCACTCGGGTGTGGCCAGCTGATGGGGCACCTTGATGGGCAGAGCATCTTCATCCAGATGAAACTAGGTGTAGACGTTCCTGGAGAAACAATAAGCTGAAAAGAGCATGTACTTGATATGACCAGGGGCAAAGCAGCAGAAGTGAATAATCAGAATTACTATTGAGAGAAGTGAAAGTCATATCCAAGAAATAGACGGAGAATGGCAGACACGGGTGGAAAAGAGGTTACAAACGAGGCTGGTTAATAGCTGGGAGGATCAGAAACAGATCTGAGAGTTGGTGCAGGTTGAGAAAGTGGCTGTGGCAGCAAACAGGAATAAAATTCATCTTTTTTGTCCAGCTTTATTGAGGTGTATCTGAAGAATTAAAATCGTACTATATACAATATTTAAGATACACAACATGATTTTTTGATGTATGCATACAGTGTGAAATGTTTGCCACAATCAAGTTAATTAACTATATCTATCGCCTCACTTAGCTACCTTTTTTCTTTCTGTGTGTGTGTGTGTGTGTGTGCGCGCGCACGTGTGTGTGTGTGGTGACAATACTTAAGATCTACTTTCTTGGCAAATTTCAAGTACAGATTACCATTAATTGTCATCACCATGCTGTATGTTAGGTCTCCAGAACTTATTCATTTTATAACTGAAAGTTTGTAGCCTCTAACTATCATCTCTGCATTCCCTCCACAAGTCCCTGTTTTATATGGAGCCTTTTGCCCAATACAGTGGCAAAACTGAGAGCTTAAAGAAAGTGTCCAGGACTGGGCAATGTTTATTGGTTGCAACTTGTTTTGTCTGTATGGAACAAGCTGTTTCCCAAGTTACCTTCGTCCTCCTAAGGGTAAAAAGCAAGGTCACAGTATGTTCCTCTCGTGTTGCTCCTAACCAGCTCTAGGAAAACCAGCTTCCTTCAAAATCCCCCTCCTCACACACCCAGTCATTTTCCAGAGCTCTCGGACCAACTGGCTATGGGCTCATCTCCACGGCAGAGTGGCCACCAATGTTCTTCTCTCCTCTTCAGTTAAGCATCCACATGTAGTCCATTACTTGGTATGAGCTCAGTTCTTAGCATTTAATCTTGTAATTCACTTTATAAGCTCCTAAACTAGAAGAATCCCTTTAATCTTCCTTAAGGAAAGACGACTAAAATCTATTGTTCTGCTGAGGACTGCAGTCACTGCTTGGGCAGTTCAGACCCAGTCCAGCTCCCAGCATGCCTGAGAGGAGTGTTCCTGAAAGTCTGGTTTCACTGGGGTTCCTGATAAAAAATGCAGATTTGTGGGCCACACCCCTAAGCCACAGAGTGAATAGCTGAAGATGTGTCTGGGGAAGATTGGTTGGTAACAGGTTCCCCCTGTGAGTCGGATGCTCTCTCAGTTTGAGAACCACCGTCCTTGAGAAGAGTATACTCGAACAGTGCCTGTTCCTGTCTGAGTCTGTCCTTTGTTCACATTTCCACTGATGTGGGGTTAAACCTGGGGGTTGCTCAAATCTATAAGCATCAGGAAATGGGAGGGCTGATACAATGCTAATTCTCTGCAACCCATCCTCTCCTCCTATTATTTGTATGTTACTACTCATCTGGTTAAGTAACTTTGCTGAAGAGGAAACCATGTAGTAACACCTCATTATGCCATCAGAAGGGAAGCTGTGTTACCTGAAAATTAAATTATTGTATTCACTAATTTAGAGGTGTAATAGATATTTTTATTTCATACAGCAATGTTTTGGAGGTTTTTTGGTATGGCAAAATACACATACATTTTATACTATTTCAAAGATAAATTTTCTTAAAGCAAGTATTGATCCAACATAGTAGTCATTTTTTTCAAGTTAAAATTTATTTCTATTGCCTTTCTTAAAATTAAACTTTGGATATAATTGTAGATTCATATGCACTTTTAAGAAATAATAGAGAAAGCCCAGTTACCCTTGTGAGCCCAAAAGTATCTGAGATAGGTCTCGATCAATTTCAAAAGTTTTTTTTGCCAAGGTTAAGGATGCACTAGTGACACAGCCTCAGGATGTCCTGACAATATGTGCCCAAGGAGGTTGGGGAACAGCTTGCTTTTTATGCATTTTAGGGAGGCATAATACATCAGTCAATACATGTAAGATTTACATTGGTTTGAGCTGGAAAGGCCAGACAACTCAAAGCAGAGGCTTCCAGGTCACAGGTTAGATTTTTTTTTTTTTTTTTTTTTTTTTTGAGACGGAGTTTCGCTCTCATTACCCAGGCTGGAGTGCAATGGCGCGATCTCGGCTCACCGCAACCTCCGCCTCCTGGGTTCAGGCAATTCTCCTGCCTCAGCCTCCTGAGTAGCTGGGATTACAGGCACGCGCCACCATGCCCAGCTAATTTTTGTATTTTTAGTAGAGACGGGGTTTCACCATGTTGACCAGGATGGTCTCGATCTCTTGACCTCGTGATCCACCCGCCTCAGCCTCCCAAAGTGCTGGGATTACAGGCGTGAGCCACCATGCCCGGCCACAGGTTAGATTTAAACATTTTCTGATCAGCAGTTGGTTGAAAGAGTTATTATCAATAGGAAGGAATGTCTGGGTTACCATAAGGGGTTGTGAAGACTAGGGTTTTATCATACAGATGAAGCCTTCAAGTAGCAGGCTTCAGAGAGAACAGAATGTAAATGTTTCTTATCATATTTAAGGTCTGTGTTGATGGTAATGCTAGTTGGCTTTTACTGAATTCCAAAAGGAAGGAGGGTATACTGAGAATGAGCCATAGCCAACTCCCCCTTCCCATCATGGCCTGAACTAGCTTTTCAGGATAACTTTGGAATCCCCCTGGCTATTTGGATCGTTGGGGGGGCCTTAGAATTTTATTCTTGGTTTGCACTCTTTACCTTAGACACTTACCCCTAGTGATAACATCTTGCCAAACTGTAGTAAAAAGAACCCCACAAAACTGTAGTACATTACCAGGATGTTAATGCTGATACACTCAACATCCAGAACATTTCCATCAGCACAGGGATTGCTCATGCTGCCCTTTATAATCACACCTACTTCCCTAACCCATCCCCAACTCCTCAAAATCACTAATTTGTTCTCCATTCCTATAAATCTGTCATTTCAAAATGTTATAGAAATGGAATTATACAGTGTGTTACCCTTAGGGATTGAGTTTTTCCATTCAGCATAATTTCTCTGAACATTCACTCAGGTTGTTACATACATCAGTAGTTCATCTTTTTTATCACTTAGAAGTTGTCCATGGTGTGGATATGCCACAGTTTATTTAACCAGTCACCTGGTGAAGGATATCTGGGTATCTCTACTTTGGCTATTATAAATAAAGCTGCTATGAACATTCATGTACAGGTTTTAGTATAAACAGGAGATTTTATTTTTCAGAGATAAATGCCTAAGAGTACAACTGCTGGGTTGCATGATAACATATTCAGTTTTTATAAGAAACTGCCAAACTATTTTACATAGTCATCTATTGTCTTTTATTACAAAGAAATATATACCCATTGTAAGAAAGTCAAGAAATGCAGATAAGTGCTCTTGTACATTGGTACCATTTTACAATGAATGTATATTTTTACAGTGCACATGTATTTTACAGTTTATATATTTTTTAAAAACGATGAGTTCGTCTCCTTTGTAGGGACATGGATGAACCTGGAAACCATCATTCTCAGCAAACTGACACAAGAACAGAAAATCAAACACTGCATGTTCTCACTCATAGGCAGGTGATGAACAATGAGAACACATGGACACAGGGAGGGGAGCATCACACACTGGGGTCTGTGCAGGGCAACTAGGGAAGGGACAGTAGGGGTGGGGACTTGGGGAGGGATAACATGGGGAGAAATGCCTGATTTAGGTGATGGGGAGGAAGGCAGCAAACCACACTGCCATGTGTGTACCTATGCAACAATCTTGCATGTTCTTCACATGTACCCCAAAAACCTAAAATGAAATAAAATATATATTTAAAAAAATGTATATATATATATATATATGGGGAATTAGATAATCCAATGAAATTCATTGTAATGAGATTTGATCCTTATACAAATGTACATAAATATATGTATATGCAAAGGCAAATGCATGAATATATGGAGAGGAATAGATATGTATGGGTACACTATATGAAGATTATATATATATATATATTTTAATTGCATTTTAGGTTTTGGGGTACATGTGAAGAACATGCAAGATTGTTGCATAGGTACACACATGGCAGTGTGATTTGCTGCCTTCCTCCCCTTCACCTAAATCTGGCATTTCTCCCCATGCTATCCCTCCCCAACTCCCCACCCCCTACTGTCCCTTCCCTAGTTGCCCTGCACAGACCCCAGTGTGTGATGCTCCCCTCCCTGTGTCCCTGTGTTCTCATTGTTCAACACTCACCTATGAGTGAGAACATGCAGTGTTTGATTTTCTGTTCTTGTGTCGGTTTGCTGAGAATGATGGTTTCCAGGTTCATCCATGTCCCTACAAAGGACACACAATCATCGTTTTTGATGGCTGTATAATATTCCATTGTGTATATGTGCCACATTTTCCCTGTCCAGTCTATCATTGATGGGCATTTGGGTTGGTTCCAGGTCTTTGCTATTGTAAACAGTGCTGCAGTGAACATTCATATGCATGTGTTCTTACAGTAGAACGATTTATAATCCTTTGGATATATACCCAGTAATGGGATTGCTGGGTCAAATGGAATTTCTCTTTCTAGGTCCTTGAGAAATCGCCACACTGTCTTCCACAATGGTTGAACTAATTTACACTCCCACCAACAGTGTAAAAGTGTTCCTATTTCTCCATATCCTCTCCAGCATCTGTTGTCTCCAGATTTTTTAATGATCGCCATTCTAACTGGCATAAGATGGTATCTCATTGTAGTTTAGATTTGCATTTCTCTAATGACCGGTGATCATGAGCATTTTTTCGTATGTTTGTTGGCCTCACGTATGTCTTCTTTTATAAAGTGTCTGTTCATATCCTTTGCACACTTTTGAATGGGCTTGTTTGTTTTTTTCTTGTAAATCTGTTTTAGTTCTTTGTAGATTCTGGATATCAGCCCTTTGTCAGATGGGTAGACTGCAAACATTTTTCCCCATTCTGTTGGTTGCCGATTCACTCTAATGACTGTTTCTTTTGCCGTGCAGAAGCTGTGGAGTATGATTAGGTCCCATTTGTCTATTTTGGCTTTTGTTGCCAATGCTTTTTGTGTTTTGGTCATGAAGTCCTTGCCTATGCCTGTGTCCTGAATGGTTTTGCCTAGATTTTCTTCTAGGGTTTTTATGGTGTTAGGTCTTATGTTTAAGTCTTTAATCCATCTGCATTTAATTTTAGTGTAAGGTGTCAGGAAGGGGTCCAGTTTCTGCTTTCTGCACATAGCTAGCCAGTTTTCCCAACACCATTTATTAAACAGGGAATCCTTTCCCCATTGCTTGTTTCTGTCAGGTTTGTCAAAGATCGGATGGTTGTAGATATGTTGTGTTGCCTCCAAGGCCTCTGTTCTGTTCCATTGGTGTATATCTCTGTTTTGGTACCAGTACCATGCTGTTTTGATTACTGTAGCCTTGTCATATAGTTTGAAGTCTGGTAGTGTGATGCCTCCCGCTTTGTTCTTTTTGCTTAGAATTGACTTGGCTATGCGGGCTCTCTTTTGGTTCCCTATGAAGTTTAAGGTGGTTTTTTCCAGTTCTGTGAAAAAGGTCATTGGTAGCTTGATGGGGATAGTGTTGAATCTATAAATTACTTTGGGCAGTATGGCCATTTTCACAGTATTGATTCTTCCTAACCATGAACATGGAATGTTTCTCCATCTGTTTGTGTCCTCTCTTATTTCATTGAGCAGTGGTTTGTAGTTCTCCTTGAAGAGGTCCTTTACATTCCTTGTTAGTTGTATTCCTAGGTATTTTATTCTCTTTGTAGCAATTGTGAATGGCAGTTCGTTCTTGATTTGGCCCTCTTTAAGTCTATTATCGGTGTATAGGAATGCTTGTGATTTTTGCACATTGATTTTGTATCCTGAGACTTTGCTGAAGTTGCTTATCAGTTTCAGGAGATTTTGGGCTGAGACGATGGGGTCTTCTAGATATACAATCATGTAGTCTGCAAATAGAGACAATTTGACTTCCTCCTTTCCTATTTGAATACCCTTTATTTCTTTTTCTTGCCTGATCGCTCTGTCTAGAACTTCCAGCACTATATTGAATAGGAATGGTGAGAGAGGGCACCCTAGTCTAGTGCCAGATTTCAAAGGGAATGTTTCCAGTTTTTGCCCATTCAGTATGATAATGGCTGTTGGTTTGTCGTAAGTAGCTTTTATTATTTTGAGATACGTTCCATCAATACCTAATTTATTGAGGGTTTTTAGCATAAAGGGCTGTTGAATTTTGTCTCTGCATCAATTGAGATAATCATGTGGTTTTTGTCTTTGGTTCTGTTTATGTGGTGAATTATGTTTATAGGCTTGTATATCTTGAACCAGCTTTGCATCCCTGGGATGAACCCTACTTGATCATGGTGGATAAGCTTTTTGATGTGCTGTTGCAGTTGGCTTGCCAGTATTTTATTGAAGATTTTTGCATCTATGTTCATCATGGATATTGGCCTGAGTTTTCTTTTCTTGCTGAGTCTCTTCTGGGTTTTGGTATCAGGATGATGTTGGTCTCATAAAATGATTTGGGAAGGATTCCTTCTTTTGGATTATTTGGAATAGTTTCAGAAGGAATGGTACCAGCTCCTCTTTGTATGTCTGGTAGAATTCGGCTGTGAACCCATCTGGACCTGGGCTTTTTTTGAGTGGTAGGCTCTTAATTGCTGCCTCAACTTCAGATCTTGTTATTGGTCTATTCAGGGTTTCGACTTCCTGGTTTAGGCTTGGGAGGATGCAAGTGTCCAGGAATTTATCCATTTCTTCCAGGTTTACTAGTGTATATGCATAGAGTTGTTTGTAATAATCTCTGATGATGGTTTGAATTTCTGTGGAATCTGTGGTGATATCCCCTTTATCATTTTTTATTGCATCTATTTGATTATTCTCTCTTTTCTTTTTTATTAATCTGGCTAGTGGTCTATTTTGTTGATCTTTTTGAAAAACCTATAAATACTCCTGTATTTATTGATCGAAGGATTTTTGTGTCTCTATCTCCTTCAGTTCTGCTCTGATCTTAGTTATTTCTTGTCTTCTGCTAGCTTTTGAGTTTTTTTAATCTTGCTCCTCTAGCTCTTTCAATTTTGACGATAGGGTATCAATTTTAGATCTCTCCTTGCTTTTCATGTGGGCATTTATTGCTATATATTTTCCTCTAGAGACTGCTTTAAATATGTCCCATAGATTCTGGTATGCTGTGTCTTTGTTCTTGTTGATTTTGAAAAACATCTTTATTTCTGCCTTCATTTCATTGTTTATCCAGTCAACATTCAAGAGCAAGTTGTTCAGTTTCCATGGGATTGTGCAGTTTTGAGTGCTTTTCTTAATCCTGAGTTCTAATTTGATTGCACTGTGGGCTGAGAGACTGTTTTTTATGATTTCCGTTCTTTTGCATTTGCTGAGGAGTGATTCACTTCCAATTATGTGGTCAGTTTTGGAGTAAGTGCAATGTGGTACTGAGAAGAATGTGTATTCTGTGGATTTGGGGTGGAGTGTCCTGTAAATGTCTGTTATGTCCACTTGGTCCAAATCTGCATTCAAGTCCTGGATATCCTTGTTGACTTTCTGTCTCATTTATCTGTCCAATATTGTCAGTGGTGTGTTAAAGCCTCCCACTATTATTGTGTGGGAGTCTAAATCTCTTTGTAGGTCATTAAGAACTTGCTTCATGTATCTGGATGCTCCTGTATTGTGTGCATATATATTTAGGATAGTTAGCTCTCCTTGTTGCATTGATCCTTTTATCATTATGTAATGCCCTTCT